AATCGGCTAGCTATGCATCAAAAACTCCATGATTCAAAGTGACTGGACAACATAAACCTTTTCCGTACAGTAAAGAAATGCTTGTGAAAAACAAAAAGATTTTTAAGATTTTATTTAAATGTGTTATGTATAACAAGTATAATGAGTGAATCTTTGAAATCAAAAGATTCAAAGGGGACGAAGATTGTATTAAAGGAATCTTCAAACTATCTAAAGATTCAGATCATTATGGTCTGAAATAACACCTTTATAAATTACGATTATCTACTAATTCGGAATGCAGATTATGCCTCGAAGATGAGGAAACTACTATGCATATTCTTTGTGACTGTGCTGCTTTAATAAAGCACAGAAGAAACTTGTTTCATATGGAATTTCTATCACCAGAACAGATTAAGAGCTGTTCTCTAGATTTAGTTCTGTTTTAGTTTAAAGTTTTAAAGGACTTTGGGTAATCAATGCTGAAATTGGTACAATAGGACTCTTCTGGACGTAGTATCGGCTACTGGGCGATTTCACGTCAACGCTTTAATAATAATAATATAAAGATTCAATTCAAATGGGCTGAAGTTTGTATTTCAGTTACCAACCGTGGCAGCATGGTCATAAATATTAAGGGTAACACATTTAGAAAAAGCTTTTTATTTTACCATCTAACATCACGAAATGCGATTTTGGTCAAATAGACTGATCGTCCGTTTTATTCACTAGATCTGAGAGCCTCAGCGACTATTTATTGTTCCCAAAGAAAAAATTGTTAGAGAATGCCTATCGACTAAAGAAGATATTAGAATATATAAAAATTTTTTTCTAACACCACTGGAGTTTGTACTAAATGAAAGAGAGTATAAATTTTATAACCAATTCATTGAATATATTTAGTTTGGGAATAAATTACTGTATTGGATTGCTCACTCTCACATTTTTCAATTCAGATATAATTAAACTATAGATTAAGGCTTATACATATGTTAGTCGTTCAATTATTATAATGCTGATATATTTAATGACGTATACAATAGTGTAGGTATCAAGTCGATTCTACCATTGAGGAACTGTATATACTTTGTAAGCAGTCTAACTGTTGTAAAATAATTGGAAAGTTACATAAATTAAAGCTAAATTTTTCGTGACTACTAGTCTAATATAGTAGTTCAAATTGGTGAAAATTTTATATTTTTCTACTAGGTAGGTAGGTAGATTGGCCACCTTTGATGGTCAGCCAACTAATTCGGTAACTTATTTAATGACTTCCAATGAACTTTGATTGATAGATTATTTTAAACTTACAAGGATTTGATAGCCTAGTATTAGCGATAATAACACCAGACAACGAATTCGATAACGTATCACAAACTGTAGTCATGAAAAATGAAAAAAAAAAATAAAAAAGTCGGTGATGTTAAGAATTAATACAGTACTTTATTTAGAAAATTTTTTCTGTGTAAAAAGTGTGCGGAATTTGATATTCGAAAAACGCATGGAAGAGGAATTACTATCATAATTTTGTTTTGGTATATTGGTAGCGATCTGGAATTCAGTTTATATCAGTTGCTTTTGCAATTATATATAAGTTTTAAGTGTTTTATATGAAAAAGCACATGAAAGGTCACTTGATTTTGATTTCACGAAGTCATTGCTTTCAATTTCACAGGTTGAAAGTTCTAAGCCAGGCATTTTAGATCTAAATATTTTGTATAAACTTATAAAACCAATAAATATTTTCACAGTCTTCTGATGGTGAATGTTTGGTAATATGACAAAATAGCTAATATATAATATGGGTAACGACAATACCTAGCTGCTTTCTCAATCGAAATATTCAGTTAATTAGATACAGATTTTGTTGTTTTTTCCGGAAAAATATTTATTATATTTATAAATATTTATGAAGATTGAATCTAAACAATTACAATAATACTTATGAAATGAAATCTTCTTGTTTGTGTTCCTTGGACTCCAACGACTTTGAAATACTTAAGAGATTATCATCTTTATATTCAAAAATGTTATCCTCATCGCACCGTTGCGATGCCATAAATTTATCAAAAATCTTACGTTTACCAATTTTTTCACAATCAACAAAATGCTGTTTGGAATATTTTCGCATATCAGATAAATGATTTCGTTGAGATTTCGATAATTTCTTGATTGTACCACTAACAGGTATTGAATTCACCGCAATTCCTTTGGAGTTTTTTCGTTTTAGAAGCGAACGACATGGACGCATTATAGCGAAGTAAAAAAATTCAGCAATGGATATGAAACTAAAACCAAGAAATAGACCCATGAGGCCACCGACATTAGCTATAAAAATATAATTTAATGTATTAGTATTCTATATTAGAACTATATATATTGTTAAAACCAACTTACATAAGAAATCCGATATACCAATAAATTCTGTTTGTAAATGACTTCGAAAGGAATTCTCTTTAAAATACATATTGACTACACCGATATTCTTTTCCACATATATATGATCAAAATCCTCTACTTTTTGATTTACAATTTCAAAACCATAATGTGAGATTATTGCAGTGAAAACGTCAACATAAAATGTCAAGTCATAGCAGCTTGGATAACATTTATCAATGCAGGACTCGATTGTAGGATCTTTGCGTAGACGTACTTTTTCTACACATGAATTTTTGTAAATTGAACAAATAGTAACATTTTCATAAACTTTTGGCATATAGAAACTAATACAACCGCAATGCTGGAGTACCATTTCTGCGATACATTCCATCTCACAATTACGTTGTGTGTAGTGAGCAAAGTATTTCAAGCGTCCTTCATTGTGAAATAAACAGTGCCGATATTTCTTTTTTACTGTACGTAAATGTTGATCTGTCTCAATTTTTTCTGGGCGTATTCTAAGTTTAGTTTCACGTCCCGGTGCTACCAGTACACCTGTTTCAAGTACATTTGGTGATTCATTCGGACTATGTATGGCTATTTTGAAACCAACGCTATTACCAGAAGAGCAATAATATTCATCATACTGCACGTCTAGTGTAATTGATAAACCCAAAGATTCTCCGACTCCAGGTGTAGTACGCGGAAAGAAGTTCAAATCCTTAGATAAATCTTTGGGATATCCACGTTCTGCATACCAATCAACTGGAACATTCGTGTCAGTAGAAAATCTTTTCACTACAAAAGGATTTCTAAAAATAAAGATACATATATAGAAAGATAATAATATAATAACAATAATATTAATTGTAATATTAAATGTTATTATGTATTAAAATATAGTATATGTTATATTTAAACATAAATATTACATAGATATATATGCACATATAAATTAATAATATGTGGATAGTTTTATAATATAATTTTTATTAATAAAAATTTAAATATATTATTTTAAATTTAGAATAATTTATTTTTCTTACTCTCCGATATACATGAATTTTGGGTGCAGCATATTAAATACACAACATAGTCCTTCATCTGTGACAATTGGATGAAAAACTTGACTGCAGTTCAATTCGCTACCTGCAAAACGGCAGCCAACCACCATTTTATGGCAAGGTTGAGAAACCTGAAATTGTTGAAATTATAACTATTAAATAAGGTATTGAAAGAGGTTTTTCGAACAGTAGTGAACTACAACAACAAATATTGATTCAATATTATTTTAATTATTTGAATTTTTTTGTTTCGAGTATTGCCAAAT